GGGAACAAGTCCCCAGTTGCTGATGGAAGTGAGTCCCCAGTCTGCTGATGGGAGTCAATCCATGGTCTTTCACAGGCTTAACCCCCTGTGGGTCTTTCATTCCATCAATATGGAAATGACTCCCCAGTTGCTGATGGGAATGACCTCCCAGTTTATTGATGGGAACAAGTCCCCAGTTGCTGATGGAAGCCACTCCCCAGTCTGCTGATGGGAGTCAATCCTCTTTTTGATAATCATTCCTCAGTAGTCGCCATAACATTCCATAATATTCATCCTAAAATAAATGAGATCCATTCAGGACCAAGTCTTGATTGCGATTCAAACTTCTTCACATTCCATCCTAATTTCAGTGTCTCCATTCATCAATCTGTCACATGTAGAGTAGAACAACCTTACCTTTTACAACCAAGGTTGGCTAGACCCTGGTTACAAGGGTACAATGCCTGACACAAGGAGAGGTAGCCACTTCTCCCCTCGCAACAACCATAGTCGTCTACCTACAAATTCACAATTTCTCAACAACTTACATTCAACCAAATACTCACAACAACAAAACAAATGCTTTCAAATGGAATTTCATAGTGATCCTTATCGTATATTCTTCAATAATAAACTGATCAGACAATTTTTCAATAGATAATAGAATGAACATATCAAATGAGACAGAATTCTCGTGTCATAAAAATGATATCAAACGAAACATCAACCTTGAGTTGATTTTATTAATCTCACAAAAAATTGTTTTGAGTTCATTAACTCAGGAATTGAAATCAGAATCTCGACAATCTATTTTTTCTGTAACCGTCAATCCCTTGCATCTACTCGGAGTGTGTCCGGTACTACCATATCTCTTACATGTAATATTCTCCCAATAGGATCTCCCTTTCTTTACTCGTTGGTCTAGTTGATTTCAAGACGCTGACTCGCAATCTTGAGTAGTTGACATTGAAGAATTATCCAACTGATCTCCCTCATTGTCCCTATCTCGCTCACATTGGTCCTCCAAAGGACGTTCTATCCTTGTCTTCTAATACTCATGACAACAATCGTCCTTTTCTTTTTTCAGTATTCCTCTGATTTTTGAGAGATTCGTCACGGGATCTGAATCTCTCTTTCGCTTGTCAACTCGACACTCTCTCTCAATTTTTTGTAAGCAAAGATGTAATCGAAGAGTCTAGTTAAATATTCGACTAAATTCTCGGTCAATAAAATTTGACCGAATTTTTTTCCAATTGAATTTACTACTTTCTCCTCGGGTAAGCAAACACAGCTCCCCTTCAGAAAAATTTTCAAGAAAAGCAAAGCACTTCCGTCTATCTGTCAACCCTTGAATTCGACGAGCCACCCGTTCAAATTCACCCATAAACTTTTTCTTTACTCCATATGGATCTCGCTCAACATTCCTCAAATCCTCAATTGTTGTTACTGTATCGCCTAACCAGAATTCGTCTAACACGGCATCGGGAAAATGAGGCCACACTAATGAAGTCTCAATTATTTGTTGGACTATACTCGCGAGATCTTTGTCAATATATTTAAGAACTCGCCTCAACATTTGAGGCTTATCCCAATCGTTAACGGATGCCAACTGTTCAAATTTTTCAAGGAAAGTAGAAACAAAATTACCGTCGAAGAGAGGGACGTCTACTCTTGGCAGACTTTCCCTTTCCACGTCTCTCTGTTTTACAAGTCGAGTTATTCCCGTCATATCTTCGTGATGATGACCTTTGCTTTCTTCCTTTTTCTCTCCTGCGAGCGGTTTCGAGAATTTGACAATCATCAACTTCTCGAACTCATTCCAGGTTTCAGAAGCACGTAGAAGATGTCCAATCTTAACTTTCAATTCTTCAATCACAAACCCCAAAGTAAAAAGGAACTTGTGATTTTCTCCCCAAAGCATTAGTGTTGCCAAAGCCTGAAAGGCCTTTAAGAATTCAACAACCCCGCTACCTCTGAAGAGAGGCACGTCGGTAAAAGTTCCTCCCGTCATTTTATCGCCCTGCAAAAGGCATAAAGTATATTAATAATCAAATTATCTTATTGATAATTTAACAATCACTGAAACAATTTCAGGTCTGACTTGCAAGAATAATGCTTAACCATCAAATTAACTTATTCGGATACCGTTTCAT